ACTTAGAACAAACTCCCTATCTTGCACACTATTGACTAAGCATAAAACAAAAGCAGAGCCAATATCTGTGTGTAAAAGAAGGTGTTTGTTGTAGGTTTTTTCCTGTTTTCAAAGGGTTTTGACGGCGCCCAAGAGGCGTCTTACCAATAAACCTTATTATGTCAACCTTCATGCCAGGAATGACACTTACCCTCCATGGCACCACAGCATTCACAAGCTTCGTCGTTTTACCGTCTATTTACCTTACGAAATATGTACGGTTCGAACTAATGTGGACACCTGAAGAACACCCTTCTCGATCTGTATATAAATGGATTTCTCCCTGCACCCTGATAACTCATGACGAAGAGGTTGCCAGACTTTTTGCAGAGGTCCCTTAAAGATAGCTAGTAGGGGTGTTGTAAAACCTGCGAAGGAGATCTGGGCCACATGCACATCCTTAATCATAGGAATGGGTTTCATTTGTCTTATATTTTAATACCCCATATGTAGGTGAGCACACATTCACTTAGGGATTGTAAGATTACTGCGTCAAGCACACTTTTTATTACTGGAACGATGAGCCAGGTTTTGGCAAATGAAATGAGGTTTTACCAAGTGTGTTGTGTTTCAGTGAATCCCCACCTGCTTTATGGATATTGCGCCATACCTATCATATAATTCAGGAATTAACGTTTTGACATGTCGATCTGCTCGAAGGAAGATTATATAACACCAGCTAGCCCGTCTTCCTTAATCATGTGCTACCATCTAGAGGGAGCAGTGTTGCACCTTTCACCCTTTATTTCGATTTCACTTAGGCTTTTGATAGTTTTGACAATGATCTCCTCCTTGAAACTTACCTCTTTCGACACAGGTAACAAGCTTTTGAATTTGATATCTTCCTACTTTGGTGTTCTCACACAAAGAGTCACAGTTGTCATCCATATCTTCAACCCCACACATGTTATGCGTGGAGCCATTCACAATAGCATGCTTGGCCCGCTATTATTTTGCCTTTTTATCCATTATGTTCCTTTTTATTTTCAGGATGGTAGGCGGTTAATGTAGGTCGAAGATTTAAAAGTAGCCTATCAATATAAACCGGCAGATTGCAACATCATGCTCGAGCTCTTAAAAAGGATCTTCGGGCATTTGGCCAGTGGTGCTGCACATGGCGCCTTTTCCTTTATTGGCACAAACTCGCCGTTATGGGTATTGACGACCATCATCAGCCTCTAAAAATCATACATGGTGGATACATAAATGTATCCAGAGTTCATTATCCGTATCAGTTTATTGAGGGAAAAGAAAGTGAACGCATCTGAGCTCCATGTTAGTAACGAAATGGCTAGAAATTTATGGATGCAAAGGAAAAATAGAAAAAAATTATTTCGATTACATGCTTGTCAACGAAAAAATAAAAACCATTTGTTAGTCGAACTAGAAATAAAACATGATTCCTCGCTTAACACGAGTAGTATAATAATAAGTATATGTAATAGTCTCCCTCATAAATCAGGTTGTGCCTGTGAATTAGGTGTTTGGTGCATACCCAATTTCCTTTTAAATGTATTCGAAAAGATGAAGAGGATAACCTTTTCGGGGAGAGCATTCCACACCGAAATAACTCTGTTACGGAAAAATCATATACGACCATTGCTCCTTGTTTTGCTGAGGCGTATTTTTACAGGATGTCTGCGCAAAATGGGCATGTTAAGCTGCATAAAAAATCATCAGGAACAAAGAAACTGTGCACGTAACATTACGGACGGTAAGTATGTGATCCCATCGTAGTTGCTTGTAGGAAAGGGGAAATAATTTGATCGTTGACAGTCTGCTTTCATAGGGCAGTGTTTGCAGACCTTTGACCATTTTTGTTACCCGCTTCTGGACCTTCTCCAATAGGATACAGTCTTTGATATTCCTAGGTCTCTATGCTTCTGTGGCAAAATCCAGGTGCGGCCGAACGATGCTTTCAAATATTTTGGAAAGGCTTTCTTTTCAAACCCCAAAAAGGCTCGCCTAATCGGCTGCAATATAAATCTGGCTGACTCCGCCGCCTTCGTGTAATTCAGAATTTATAATTTACACTTCTAAGTGCCAAGAGGGCACTATCTATACATGCAGTTCAGTGTTGGTTTGAGTGAAGAAGTAATCCACACACTCAAGACCTGCTAACTGTCAACGTGTTGCAGCGGTGTACCTTTTAAGAAATAACCACACGACCAGGATGCTTTACAACTGCCGATTGGGAGACAGTGGCATTTGCTAACACTGCAGGACATGAGCCAAGGTCTTATCTAGTCCTCTAAGCTGTGTAAATTGGCTTGCAGATTGTTTTCGGCTGCTGTATTTTGTACACTTTGCACAATTTTTTGTCCTCAGGGAAAAGGGTGACATCACACTCTAGATCCTGCCAGTCTGTGAGGAAGAGAGGGAATAATCTGGGATATATAATAATAATAATAATAAGTTGTATATTTCAGTTATTAAGGAACTTGGCTTATCGTATTCTTATGGTCTTAATCTGTCAGAACACTGCGTCCTGATTATATGGAAAGCACGCCGAACTACCGGATTTATGCGCAGAACTGCTTAAAACCATCAATGTTAGTACTAGCCTTTATATAATGCTTGTAAGGCCTAGTTCGGAATATTTCTCGTTTCTTCACTTTAGCGAACGGACTAAAATGGATTTGGTCCGGAATTTCCTTACTAAACGTGTTTTCTTTTCAGAACGCCGTACCCTGTCCTATCAATAATGTTGTGAGTTTAGCAACCATGATATTTTATGGATTAGACATTTAACAAAAGGATTTATTTTTTACTGTTTGAACTTTTAAACATCCGTACGTTTAATTGCCTTAGTGCCCAGAGACAGGTCGACCACTGTCGGCGCACCCGTCATAAAGGTGTCTTTTTGTATCTTGTGGAAGATTATATCACTAACAAATATACAAAATTTCATAGCGATATTGAGAAATGTAGAGGCTATATCACTACAAATATACAAAACGTCTAAGTAAATACTAAAACTTTCTAGGGTAGGCTAACTGCTAGTAAGTGATTTACCAGACTATTCTGATGGAAAAGTTGTAAAAACCGGTATATGAGGATGACA